TCTTTCTTTTGTTATTAGAGAGAGAGAGAGAGAGAGAGAGAGAGAGAGAGAGAGAGAGAGAGAGAAAGACGCTACCTGGTATTCGACTCAGACAAGAGAGACACAGACCGACGCACGCACACACTTTGCTGCGGACTCCTCCAGAAGCATTCGACAAGCAACAGGCGCCCACGCACTACTGCTGTGACTCACTTTGCTCTGAAGTCCTCGAGCCCCAGGTTTCCGAAGAAGGCCTTGCCCCAGCACTTCACGCCGCCGGACCCGAGGAGGGCGCAGGTGTGGGAGGAGGCCGTCGACACCTCCACCGCCGTTTCCGCGGACCCCAGATCAACGGTCGGCAGCGCGTCGCCCATCTCGTCGGGGTCATCGCCCACGGTGAGGATGGCCTCGCTCCCGAGCTGACCGCCCTCCGCCCTGCCCCAGCACTTCAGGCCGCCGTCCTGGTGCAGTTGGTGGAGGCGGAAAACGGCAGGAGCAGCGGCGGCGGTAGGTGTGCTTTTCGTGCCCCAAGAGGAACATTTTGTTGGCGTGCTTGGTGGTATGATAGATGCTTTACTGATCTTGCGGTCGCTCGCGATTATTGTGTATGTATTGTGTATGCAATGCAGCGCAGGAGGCCCGCGCACACATCCATCGTAACACCGTTGGGGGATCTTCAATTTGACCTTACAGACCGCGGTACTCGCGGGCGACGCTCATGACGAAAAGTGCCAGTCGAACACACACACCGCACTGAGGCTGACAAAATGTGAACGGTCAGCCGATTGGTGCTGCTGCAAACGTAGCAACGACATATTCGTCTTAGATTCTGTCACATAAATATCCACATTGACCGCGTTACGTGTTTATCGAAATTTCGGCCCTCTCCAGGCAGCACACCATGATTTTATCCGCTGACACCACCGACATATTCCCATTGGTCAGCTGGTAAGCGCGGTCGGTGCAAAAACCAATTACGCACAACACACAAACACACACAGGGCAGTCGATGCTACAAATAAACACACAAAACACAGACACACGAAACAATCCCGCTACAAGACTAGCGTCCTTTCATTGGTCAGGTAGGGCGGTCGATGGAAATGCGGGTAGCTTCCGCTGACGCTATAGATTCATTGCTAATCTATCTTAGACTCTTTTCTATGGATAAGAGATGGATGGATTAATTGTGTCATATCAAGAAAACAATACATAACAAACAAAATCCACAAAATCCACACACATGCCGTACGTCACTCCCCCCCGCCTCCCCACCTGCAAGACGGCGCACTGGTAGTCCCTCCCCCCGGAGATAGACTCCACTAGCACGCCCTCCCCGAGCGGCACGGTGGGCAGGGACTCCCCCATCTCCCCGGGCTCGTCGCCGAGGCTGTCCGCCGTGCCCTGTCCGTTCTGCCCGTAGAACCCCTCGCCCCAGCACTTGAGGCTGCCGTCCTGGAAAACGGCGCACGGGCCCCCGCCTATCGCGCCGACGGTGTTGGTACCGTTGACGCCGAGGTCGACGGAGTCGGCGATGGTGCCGTCGCCGTTGCCGGTGGTGGTCTCGTCCCCTCCCCCGAGGGCCCCGTACTCTGCGTCGCCCCAGCAACGCACGTTACCTGTGGGGTATCGTCGTTTTGGGTAAGCGTGCGCGCCGCGCCGGGGGGGGGGGGGGGCACACACACACACACTCGTGTTTCAAACGCTGTGTGCCTGATGATGTCTCTGGGTTTGAATTCTTCATGATATGATGAAGCGCGGCGTGACATGTACCTGCTGGAGAACAGCTAACGCTAACGGTAACTCTAACACTATGTATCCTACAATATCCTATCCTTCGACTCTACGCACCTTTTCTCACACCATCTACCGTCTACGTTCTCGCCAGAGTGACGGTGATGATGGTATGTCGCGCGTTCCAGTCCAACAATCTCAAAGATGGTAGGGCATACGTACTCTTGGTGATAAACTTGCAGCAGTAGGGGGACACGTGACAAATACCCCTGATGGGTACAGCCCGTTCGCCTGTTACATGTTGGCAAGATGTAGCCTTCTAACGTGTGGAGCAAATCCGGATCTCGAACTGGTGGTCGTTCCGTCATATTGTGTGGGTGGAGCACCATGGTACTGCCTAAAACAAAAACCGTACCGGAGTCGAGGAGAACGCGGGTCCGTTTTTCATACGGCACAAAAAAACCGCACCGCGAAAAGACAAACAAACCGTACCGGGGTCGAGGAGAACGCAGGTAGGTCCGGTTAATAAATATGGCACAAGAAATAAACGTACTGGCCTGTACCCCGAAAAAACAAAATCATGTTTACCGTTGTCGAGGAGAACGCAGGTCCGGTCGCCCTGGGCGGAGACGGCCACAGCGGTGCGGTTTGTTCCCAAAGACACGGCGGGTAAGTCGTCGCCCATCTCGAAGGCCTCGTCACCGCGATCGTCGGTGTCATCGAGACCCAGCTGACCCATGTTGTTCCGCCCGAAACACTTTTGGTTCGGTGTTCGTGCACATGTATGCAGCAGAGATGGTAAGGAGTGGATCGAGCGGAGCAAAAGAGGGGAAAAGGCGGAGCAGGGAATGGAAGAGGGGTGGTTAGGTGGTTCGGGAAAAACTAGAAAGAGATGAAGGGAGGACAGAAAAGGAGGAGGTGTTTTAACCACACCGGCAAGCGGCGTGTCGCTACATATGAAGTGAAAATGCTCTTGTGAGGCCTCTCTCTGTTCAGCAGTTCCACTCTGCATGCATGCCGTGATGAAGAAAAAAAAAGAAGCGTCACAGCAGTGTACCTCGGCCCGCGTCGATCATGGGCAAAGGCAAGGAAGACGTGTGCATACGAAAAACCAAGCTTCACTTCCAACTAACCGCACGGCTACAGATAGCGCCCGCCCAATACCTGCAGTGAAGAATTTGAACCTCGAAAAATTCAAAAATTCAGAAGCGAAGAACTTGAGCACCATTTGTGAGCTCTACACCATCACTAATATAGCGGCCATGGTAGCACAACCTAGGAATTAAGAGCCCAAACCCCACGGTAGGCCGAAACTATAATAGAGGTTCGTAAGTGCGGGAGCTATCTGTATTGCAAGAGAGGGTTGCATTGTGTCGTTGTTGCATAGTCAAGTTTAAACAAAAAAGAGCAAATCGCGCAGGGGGGTTTTATGTATCGATTATCCTAAATGGATTGTTGTGCGGGAACAAAAATAGGAGGGTGCGTACATTGACTCGTTTCGGGTTTTGGATGCGTTGGGTTTGGGTCAATTTCGGCTGGAGTGGTGTGCAGGACGCCATCATGTTGTAACGACGGCAACGATGAGCAGGACACAAGCTGGTGAGCATACAACTGCAGCACTGACACCCAGGTATCCCCCCAAGTAAGCATGCCCTCTTATGTCAAACACTGCTGTACCCACGAGCATCATCAGACTACCTTACGTAGACTACATACGTTGTACGTACGAATTGAAACCATTTAAATGTGGCGCAGCACACGGACGGGCACTACTTAACTACATACGCCGAGAAGGCTCGTCGCGGACTTGACACATGGGCTCACGACGGGCAATTATTTGGAAAATTTAGGATTCGTTTTCGGAATCTTCTTTGGCGGCCATAACTTGCTCTACCCGCTCTCCTGGCAAGGAGTCGTCTCTGCGGTCCATGGATCGATCAAAAACATGTGCAGAGGGAGGCAGACCGTCGGGCCCATCATGACCGCGCCCAGGCCCTTCTGCCTGATCCCGCGCTTACAAGTGCTTCAGGCGGCGACCACAGCAAGCGGGGGGGAGGAACAAACGACCCGCTCCGATTTAAACCCCGAAGGGCCAAACATAGATTAGAAGCAACCCGCCGGCCTGTTTTCGTGAGAGGGCGCGATTGAGAGAGCAAATTTCTCCGCCGGCGCCAGCGGCCCCTGCTTGCGGCGGGCCCAGGGTATGGTGGTGGTGATGGCCAAGCGCGATCATGTGCCACGTCACCAAGCAGTAGAGAGCTCGTGGCCCCTGGGCGTGTGGAGCAGTAGACTAACGTACAACGCTCTCCAACGGCCTGTTCACAAAATGTTGTGCCTGTGGTAGAATACGGTACATCCATATCATCGTCCCGAAATCAGCTATATCGTTCGTCTGTCGTCACGTCGTCACACACCTTGAGGCTGCCATCCGCCAGTACGGCGCATGTGTGATCGCTCCCGGCCGACATCGCCACCACGGTGGCTCCCGTGCCGAGGTCGACGGCCGTCAGGCTGTCCCCCATGGTCCCGGCGCTCTGCCCCCGGTCATCCGTGTCTCCCAGGCCAAGCTGCCCATAGTTGTTCTGGCCGAAGCTGCGTGCGAGAGAAAGATCAGGATTTCGGGAAAAAAGAAGAAGGCGCACACATAACGAACCGGTCAGCAACAGCGATTAACGTGATCCGGAGCCGCTGATGAAAATGCCGCTGCTGTTGTCGCAAAATAAAACCACTCACGCCCACCAGCTGGTGACCAAGCACCAGGCTGTGGGCTCGCCATCTCTCACCATTTTACGGTGGCGTCATCGAGAAGCACGCACGCGTGGTCCGTCCCAACGGCGAGGGCTTCCCCGAGGTCGACACAGCAGGCCAGCCCCACAGCGGCGGCGAAAGCCATCGCGGCACCACCACCTCTTGTCGCCATCCTTGCCTCACGGCACTGCCCGGAAGAAAGCGAGCCGCGGCGACCAGGCGTGCCCTCGGAGGAAGGCATCAACTACGTTGCGGTTTATTGTTGTTGTTGTTGTTGTTGCTCCCCTCCGGCACCGCGCTCCCAAGGGACGAGGTAAAAAAGGACGAGAGAATGTGTGTGTGAAGTGTGAAGGTAATGGTAATTATCAGAGGATGTAGCCAGCCCAGCAGATATGTATTCCCTGACCGGAAAAAAAAAAGATTTTCAAAAAAAAAAGAAGATCAGTCGCACCCTTCGAGGAGACCTCCCGCCGCCGGCACACAAGAGGGTCGCCTACTTGCAATGTACCATCAAGCTCGTGTACGCCCGCTGTGTCGATTGGAGTCTTAGTAGGCTTATAGATACAACGGGTGGGTTGATTAACGCACGGGGGTGGTCGTCTGGTCTGAACACAGTTCGGATGTCTAAATAGGTCATTGGCCAATCTTGACAGGTCAGAACGCCATACGTACGGATTGAAACCTATCGCCAGATCGGGTAGCGAGGGCGCTCCCGCACAAACCGTATTAGTTCCCACGCGCCTTTCCCTCGTGAAAGTCAGCAGTGCAAGCGACAGAGGTCACCTCTCCACCCACAGGTACGTGGTGGCCTGTCTTTGTTGTCGGGATTGAGACCCACAGATGATCAAGCTCTGTTTTTGAGCGACGGAGATCGATCAGGCATGTACGGTATACGTACATGCATACGGTACAGCTATACGCACACATAATCTCGGAAACAAGTATTATAATAGAGGGATGAATAAGGTACTGTAGCTACGGCTGCGTTCGTTCTCTACACATTTCTCATTCCTTTTCTCAAGCACGACTCTCAGCAGCAGACGGTATTCTCAATCTAATCTTGTTGGTTGAGGTTGAGGGTACGATGGCGGGAGAACTTTAGATAATTACTGATGACACGTCACGCCGGTAACCATTGGTGAAAACTGTTGTCCCAGGGTGCCACCAACCACACACCCGACGAACCTACTACCCAACACCTTCCTTCTACACCTTCCCAGAATAACATACACATAGATGAAAGACGGCTACCAAACTGTCTTGTTGAACCTTTTACCCACATGGGGGAGATATCGGTGGGTGCTGCTCGAGAAATCGTGGAAATACAGGTAGCCTTCGCTGACGCCATGGATTCATTGCTAGTCTCTTCGACTCTTTTCTATCGATAGATCGATAGAGATGGATTCGTTGGGTTCTATGAAGAATAATAAAAAAATAGGTTGTATCATTTTCCGGCCCTGGCTCTGCCCTCCCGCCCATAGGGGGTAAGGGGGTGAACTACAAGTATTTCTGGGACGTGTGCGAATCTAAGGCTGGGGCGCTTCGTTTTTCTCCCTAACCAATGTTTCGAATTTTGCCAATCATGTTCTCTTGCTGTCACGACATACGAATGCTGGTTGTTCGAAACATTATTTGTAGCCTCCCCTTCTCATGCATAGGTAGGAAGAGAGAGACAAAGAGACAAAGAGACAGCATTGATTGTGGCTGGGAGACGAACCACAGGAGAGCATACCGTAAATGACACAAGATAACACACCCCGGCGATAACATTTAAGGATTTAAAAATATTTTCACCGGGTGTGGTATCCTGTGGGAGCGCTTATCGGGAAGAGGTGAAAGTAAAAAGAACGGCGAATGCGCTCGCTCTCTTTCTCTTTCTCTCTATCAGTCTCTGTCTTTTTTCCTTGTCTCTGTCTCTGTCTCTGTCTCTGCCTCTGTCTGTCTGTCCGTCTGTCTGTCTGTCTCTCTCTCTCTCTCTCTCTCTGTCTCTCTCTCTCTCTCTCTCTCTCTCTCTCTCTCTCTCTCTCTCTCTCTCTCTCTCTCTCTCTCTCTCTCTCTCTCTCCCCCTCTCTCTCGCCCTCTCTCCCTCCCTCTCTCTAACGAATCCCAACAGCACGCCTCCCTCGTCTCCCTTCGTCTCATGTGCTGTGTTCCTAAAGTCTCACCACTGACGTTTTTCACGCGAACGAGAATGAAAGGAGAGAATGAAGAATGAGGCTAAGCTACACCTCCGCTATTACGTATAGTAGTAGACGCGGGCCATTGCCCATGTGTGGGTTATGGTGTGCGTTGTCATTTTTTCAGAAACATATCTATTATACAGCCATCGTCTATATGTAGCTTCCAAAGCACGCTCTGGTGGTAGCTCGGAGAAGGCACAGGAGCATGCCGAACGTACACATACCTCACACCCACCGACGATATATTACCCACCGCACAATATACCACACCGGGATACTTGTCAGAGACGAAATGTTGTGGCACCGCGTGTGTTATCTTTATGGTACACGTGAGCATGATGATATCGCCACGTTTTGCCTCCGCACACCTGCGTCTCTATCCAGGGCGGTACAGAAGCGAAGCCAACGTCGACAAGATGTTCGGGCAAGGACACCGCGGGGGTAGAACGAAGGAGCGCGTTGCAGCTATGTTGCTTCAGCGAATCATCAGGGGATTCATCGGCCGCAGGTATTTTGTGTACAGCGACAGGTTCGTTGTAGCACCCACATCTCAATCGGCATAAGTAGGGGGTGGGTGGTGCGATCTGACTTGACTTTGTCGTTGCTTTGGTTCCTGCTGTTGTCGGTGCTGCTGTCGACTGTCGTCGTCGTCATCGTCATCCACCTCCCCTTTTACCGCACACAACCATGATCTTAGCATCTGTCTTGCGCTCGCCTTGACCGCTCTGAATTTGTTGCTCAGTTTGCCGCCGCTGCTACTTGCTGTTTGCGTATGCGTACGAGCTGCTTTTCCTCTTCACACTTCGTGCTGTTGTGAACTTTCGAGTCAACAACCTGTCTTCTTAACCAAACACGCCATGTTCTCTCTTTTGTGGGTGTTTCCCGCACAACAACACACCTGACATTCATCCGCGTGCGACGTACCACCGCACAACGTCAAGAATTGCCCGACACCAACTACAATAATTC